CCATCGTCAACTAGACACAAGTAATGAAACATGTTGATATCTAACCACGTGACACTTTTTTACTTATTTTTATAAAAGGGTATTTTAGGTATTTGATAAACAATTAAAAATTATCATTCGAGGTAGTCGTGAATCTGTTTTATAGTCGCAACCGTCATAGTTAATATAGGGGTGATTTGAATTTGCCTAAACACAAGACATGTCTTGGGTTCGGTCTCATCTCCCAGCTAGCCTAACCGCTAAGAGAGCCAAAACTGCCCCCCCATATTGGTGTCCTTTGAGACGAGTACAGTATGAAGTTAGTTGCGGTTGTTGGTAATCAACTTTTTTTGTCCAAATATGAAGTGGCTGTTATAGAAACAATATACATACGCTATCATTATGTCGTAGGGTTTTCTATAAGATAATAAACATCATCATTACTGATTACACAACCAAATAAAAGATTAAGTATGCAAATGACGAGAATATGCAATAGTAACATCAACCTGAAAAGACGAGACCGTTGAATCCCAATTGATAGTTCATACCTATAACAGACACATTGGCCTCACCTAAAGTATTGTTCTTACAAATTGTCACATGACACATGCAACCTTCGTTGAAACTGTTAAGTTTATGATTGACCTTCCACCAAAAATGACCACTTTTTTGTAGTATATAAAATATTTTATACTTATAAAACGAACATACTGGTATGAAGATAAATTCAATGGGCCTTCCATGATTGTACGACTCGTATTGCTTGAAGCTAACAAAGCTAAAAATGAAGATGACATAGTTTTTTAGGAAGTGTCGTTCTTTAACATGTTAAATCATAAAATGTGTGATTTTAAACAGAACCCTTAACATTTTGGGGCCAATTTTACATTGTTTAGGGTATTTAATAAACAAATGTAAAACTACAGTCCACATCAATACCTCTCTGGTTTCTATCAAAAGATAAGCGTAATACGTCTTATCATCACATCTATAATTTGTATATATATATACATACATATATCTTTATGATCTAATTTTATAGTATAATTAAAAGCATTTAAAAAGATTGAAATGTCCATGTTTTTAAGATTTATATACTAGGTCTCTTAATTTTTTTTTTCTACCGACTCAAGTAAAAATTACAAGATTTGATGATGAATATATCTACGATTTGATGTTTTTGTGTTTAGTTCATGTTTGTGAATTTTGTGAGATATATATATATATATATTTCTTCCTGAAATGCATAATGTGGCGGTAGGTGGATATGGGACGGGTTTTGTCTTTGTTTTCTATATGTTTTTTCATTTCTATGATTTTAATGAGTGGCAGACAGATGATTTTTGATTTAGAATTTATCTGCTTACACAAATTCTATAATTGTTTTATAATTTTGATTTTGGTCATTCGTTCCATTCACAATTTTTATCTTAAAGTTAAATTTAGGTCCGTTCCTGATATTTTATAGACCCTAGGCGAACGTAAAAATATGGTCCACTGCAAGATACAAGGCAACGACTTTTGTCGTCGCAAAAAGTTCATTTATCGTCAGAAAGAGTATATAACAACAGCATGCTATAACTTGTGGCGGAAACATGTCATCCCTAAAAAATGCATCGTCAGAGTTCATTTTTCTTGTAGTGACCCTCTGTAAGTACGAAAAAAAATCAATAATTTTTTTTCATTAGTATAAAATTGAGTACAAGAAATGCTAATAATTTAGTGAGGAAAGAAATCTTAATAACAAGAAATATGTGTTATTTTGATATAAAAAGAGAGTTCGTGTGAATGAAGTAATCATGAGGGTCAATGAGAGATCAATAATAAAGAAGATTATCAAGGTTTTTTATACAAGTAGACAAATGATGATCAATAAAAATATGAAAGAAAAGATGATCCATTGAGATCCAATAAGAATAAATAATGAATTAAACATATAATATGCAAGCTCAACAAATGATTATTTGAGCACTTAAATAGAATCTTGTGGTGTGTTGAAATCTCAATGAAAGATACATAAGTCAAACAATTGATGAAAATATCTAAATTCTATTTTCCTTCTTTTTTGTTAACCTACAATAAGATGTTAAGATTAAAAGTTTATGAAATATGACATATATAAGAGACATTACTAAATACATCTAGTAGAAAAAATTTATTGATTAATCACAAAATCATGAAACATGTCGTAAATTAAAAGAACAATAGTAAAATATTTTATGTAGAAACAAAAATAGATAACAATAGTCAACAAAAACAATTATAACAAGATAATCAAATAACAATAGTCAATAGAAACATAAATTGATAAAAATATCCAACAAAAATATATAGCAATAACAAGTGCATGATCTTAACGTTGAATTGTTGAAACACGAAAACAGTCAAACATATAGAGATAACAATAGCCAATATCATTGGACCTTGTTGGAGATAAAAAAAAATAAAATAGAGAGGCAATAAACAATAGCATATAATGAATGACCAATTAATTTTTTTATTTTCTTCTCCAATGTAATTAGTCGATAAATTTTTGTGCCCTTATTATCTACTAAATTCTTTTTGTCTCTTATTATATGCTACAATTTTTCGGGTTTCTTTAATTTATTAAATTTTTTAGACTACTATTGTATTTTAAGGAAAAAATTTAGGTTCCTTGATATTTTTGGGTCCTGAGCGTGCGCCCGTGTCGCCCTCCCAAGGACGGCCCTAGTTAAATTTTCTTTTCTTGTATTGGCATACTAAATATTAATGGTGATGACACTAACACTAAGTGGAGGTTGTTTATTAAAATTTGTGATCAAGTGTTGATTAAGGTTGGAGGGTTAGGTTCCTGTGAGACCAAGTTGGTTTTATAGATTCGTGAGATCATTTTTTTGTACTTGAAACTTCACAGAAAAACACTGTAAAGGTAAAAAAATCCGAACTTTCACAGCAAAAACACTGTGAAGGTTACTTTCACAGTGTTTTGTTGTGAATTTTCAAGTGTAAAAAGTGGTTTTACGGGTGTCACGAAAACACGCTGGTCTCACGTGATCCTAAGTTTAAGGTTGAATGTCTGATTAAAATAAAAGGTTTGTAATTTTCGTCTTTATGATTTACAATTTATTGTTGTTTTTGAGTTCTTATGGTTTACAATTATTACTATTTTAATCCCCTGTACTTAAACGAAGGAATTAATTAAAGGACAAAAATAACAATAAATTATTTAGAAAACACATGGGCGAAAAATTATAATTTATTCTATAATAGAAGAACATTACACAATTCATTTCTTATTGGAGTTAGAGTTTCTTATGAAATAATAAGTCATAATAAAAAGTCAATAAGGTCCATGAGTAGAGAATTAGAGATGGCGGCCCGGCTCGGAATAGGCTTAGGACTAGATATGGCCAAAAACTGGTTCCAGATTGAAACAGTGGCAATTCGATCGGTCCCGGTCAAAGAGGGAAGGTCCAGTTAAGGTGTATGAGGATTGAAGCCCGGTTATGAGAACCGATCCTGATCCCAGGTTCAAATTGGTCCCACTTAATTTTTTTTAAAGATTTTTAACATATAAAAAGTATTTTTAGAATAATTTGGTCAATTAAATACCATTAACAAATACGTTTTTATTATAATTGGGTCAATCAAAAAATATTAAAAAAAATACATTTTATAAAAGATTTGGTCGATCAAATATACTTTAGAATATTTAACTGTGTCAAGTGAATATACTAAAAAAATACGTTTTTATCATAATACACTTAAAAATATATTTTGACCTTCAATCAAATACACTTAAAGATATACTTTAAAATACATTTAAAAATAAATTTTATATAAAAATCGGGTCGGGCCCTTAACCGGTCCCGGACCACTGGTCCCAAGCCGGGCCTGGTCCATTTGGCCATCTCTACTTAGGACTACAATTGGGAGTTTGGGATTGATAAAGACCGGGACCACTTACGATTTTTATGAAAATTCAAGTCCCGCTCCACCCCGAGACGAGGACCGGTTATACATAAACCCGATTTTTTTTAATAAACTATATATATATATATATATATATATATATGAAGTTTTTTAATACCAAAAACTTAATTTTTAAAAGTTAAGTATTCAAATACTAAATTTCAAAAATCATTATTATAGAAACATTTATAACATTTCTATGTGAAATAGATTTAAAGAAAAAATTAAAAAGATTGTAAGTGTACTTGAATTAACCACTTTGAGATTTTAAAATGTATTTTAATAAAATATTATACAAAAAAAATCTTCAAACACGATCTTTTTATATGCCTAAGACAGATTTTTGGAAGAGGTTGGGACCGATTTGAGCCCAACATAGGACCAGACTGTTTACATGAAGAACATGCCGGGAGTTTTTGGTCAGGACCTGTTGCCAATGGGGCAGGTTACAAAGGGAAATCTCGGATCGGTGCTGATTTGGTCCAGGCCCTAGACTGGATTTTGGTCGTCTCTAGTATAGATGTAGAAGGCCCAAAACTTTCAAGTCCGTTTTCAATGAATAGAAAAATGCCCAGACTTTGGGGTTGAAAAAGGTCCCAATCGAGCCTTTTAGGTTGGGGCTGCCCTCAAAATTTTGACCTGATTAGGTTTTGGGGCCTTGCCCACGTCTGGCTTCGGCTCACTAAGCCCAAGCTTTTTCAGGCATGGCTCAAACTAGACGTGGAACAGGCTTCGGACTTGGGCTTTTTGTGCATAGAGAATGATGTTCACAGATTTTTTTTCTATCCCAAAGGATGGAGAAACTATTTTTTTCCATGGTACAATGAAAATTATTTAATACAATAAATTCAAAATATATAGTTAACAGAAACAATAGTATAACAAAAACACCACACCTCTGCTCTACTTGCAACTTCTGCACTTGATGGACCCAAGTTCACATGCTTATCATGACAAACTCTTGGTACCAAAATTTGAAGAAAAAGGGGTCTACTTATGCTTTCACTTTCACCAATCAAAATGGATAATATCTGCAAAAATATCTGCAATCTCCAAAATATCTGGCTGCAAATATCACCTCTGTTTTCTTGTATAAAAATCCCCAAAAATCAAACTCTGGTTTCATCAAACACATTTGTGACATGGAAACCAGTAACAGACCAAGCCGGAGCGATGCTCATTTGTCCAAGGAGGAAGAGGCAAAGATAGAGGGGGAAACCAGGGACTACTTTGATGGGTTAGCACCGAGACGCCACACTAAGCCACAACGCAGCGAGTATGCTGCCCAATACATTGATGCTTTGCCCAGTGATGGTGTTAGTCACGAGTACGCTGAGTTTCAACAACTTGAACAAAACTCCCAGGTTTCTGCTTTGCTACTACTACACACAACTTTTCATATGTTTTGCATCTAGAGATGGAATCCGATAAAACATATTATTATACTCCATCTATCCCAAGAAACCTACTATGTTTAACCGATCATATGCTATGAAATCACTTGACTAACCAGACCAAACGGACCTAGTAAATCCCACTTGAAAGTAAGGTCGGGGGGAGTTGTATGCAAACCTGACCTCTACCCAAAAAAGTGGAGTGACTGACGGCTGTTAGTCAAAGAAAGCATTTGATTATTTACCATAACTTTAAGATGCTTTCAGTCTAGCTAGGCTTGTCCAAATAGTTAAAAGTTCCTCATGGTAACCATAGTTGTTACAAGCATGCCTGAGGCGCTCCTAGGCTCTGAGGCTAATAAGGCTCAAGGTCTTGGGCTTTTTTAAAAGTCGAGGCTAGGCGTATTTACGAGGCTCACTAAGGCCCTGCGCCTCGATTGAGGCATCTTGTGGGCCTAGGCACGCCTCATAAAGAGTTAATAAATACCAAGTCAAACCCCAATATTAAATACATTTTCTCATCTTCATATCTTCTAGACTTCTTAAAAAATGAGTTAGTAAAATAGATGATATAAGTCAAAGTGTCAAGCCTAATAAGAAAATGGGGCGGAGAGGGTATATGTATTTTGGAACTCCAATCTCATTCTTCGCAATTAAAGGCAACCTTGGTTAGGGACAAAACACTATGTCCATAGTCTTTCCCTTGCACGTCGCAAGAAATAACTGTTTTTTAAATATATAATATTTATACATGGCAAATACTCACACATACTCCTCTCACCTTTGGTAAGGTTTGAACCCTCGACTTCCGAGGAGGCTGGCTCTATTGGCAGCCTGGGTACCGCTGGGTCGATGACCCTTTGGTAAGAAAGAACTGTTTTCATGGGTAAAATCTGAGACCTCATGGTCACAAATAAGTAACCCTATCCAAGTTGCTCATCCCTACCGCTTGCACATGAAATTAGTGCAAGATCTAATTTGATAATTGGACTAAATGTACCTTGATTCCAATCTCAAACCTGCAAAAAGCTTCAATGCCAGACAAGGTCTTCCAGTTCTGAATATGGGTAGCACTCTGCATGTGTTGGTTAGTTATTCACAAACATCTGTAAACAACCTCCTGCAAAAAAACATGAAGAGAAATAAGGATATATCAAGATCATGGAACAACTTCAAATTGACTTCTAACAATGAATCTCTTTTCTTGCAGAAACTGGTTTACGCAGGTAACGAAGTGAGTGATGAGTTTACTGAGACAGAATATTACAAGGATCTTAATGGTGTCGATAAGCAACATCACACGGTATCCCTCTTTTTGTAAACAAAAATGAGTGATCTACTTTTCTTCAACATTGTACTTGGCTTTATATTGCAATATAACCATCAATCTTGAGAAAATGCCAAAAAAAGAGCTTGCAAAAATTAGAAAATGCAAAAGAACCATCATACTTGCCACTTTTGTTTGAATCAAGCGCTCTAGTTCTTTTTTGCTTTTACAAGAATGATGGTTTATTTGAAACATATAGCCAAACATTAGGGTCTAAAACGTAGATCACCCAACAAAGACAAGATAAAGGAGGAACTTAAGTTTACCAAATTATGCTTCTTGATCTTCCAGACGGGAACAGGGTTCATCAATGTAGATAATACAAAGGGGTCTGCTTTCAACTTAAGCCCTGAATCTGAAAGTGCCCATCATGCTTCCTGCAAGGGGAACCCAGCTACCAACGAGTGGACTCCAGCACCTGCTGATACGGTAAAACTTCACACTAGAGGTGGTTAAGCCATGAACTTTAATCTGTCTAAAGCTAAATATCTGAAGAGTTTTGGGTGAACTTTCTATTTCAGGCATCTTCTGTCTCCAACAAACCTCACAGGAGTGAAAATTGAAATGGACTTATTGCTGCAAATGTCATGAACCAGCAACTGCACTCAAACAAGATTTTGTGACTTCATTCCAAATTGAAGTTCCTGTGTATTTCTGTTCTGAGGAGCATTTATGCAACGTAAACTAAGATGCGTTATGCTACTGAATAATACCTTTGATGATGTCGTTCGATTTGCTTTGAACTTTTAAGTTGCTACACTAAATTCTTCCCTACAACTAATAAGAAAAAAGGATCTCCTTACCTTAAGCCTCTAATAGGTTTAAAGAATCCACTAACAGAACCTACTTAATTTTGGAGCTGATGACTTTTAAACTGTTGTTTGGTTTTTCTTTTCAAACAAACCATGGTTCTTGTGCAAATGACAGAAGAAAAATACAAAAAGTATTCAAAAAATGAGCGTTGGACAAAGGGTACCAATGCCCAAGTATCACATTTCTTTTGCATTTACACCTATACAATATGTCCAACATTTCCCATTCTTACAAAACCATAGTGTCTTTAGGCATTTTTGCAAAAACAAAGGTTAGTTTACAGCGAAAATCCAACTGTGATGGTTGAAAAAGTCATTCATTCTTCAGTTTCATGTTATACCAACCTGGCACCAGACTACAATCACCCTATCCAACCTATCTTGAAACACAGACCAAGGAGTCTAGCATGTGTGTGAGTTGAAGGATGAGTAAACCTGTGAGGTCAGATGGAGTGAGTGAATGATAGAGCGCACAAGAAGCTTATGTCAATCCAGAGCAACACTACAGGTTTTGGACCATGTAATCCTTCAAGCACTTGGTAAGGGGCCGTTTACCAAATGCTTACCCGGTAAGTGCTACCAAGTCATGTTACCTTACCGAATGAGTATGGCAAGGACCAAGAATCTTACCCGGTAAGAGCAAGGCAAGAACCGAGAGTCTTACCCGGTAAGCGAGGGCGACAACTCTTACCACGGTTAGCGCTTGCCGAATAAATTGTTGCATAGGATGCCCTTTTTGTTAACTAAAATTTTACCCGATAAGTAAGTGATAGTGTTAAATTTTATCGGTAAGCTTTAACCGTGTAAGTATTCAGTAAACGGCCCCTAAGTGAAATGGACAAAAGCTCTACATGTGATTCATGAAGCTCAGAAATAATGAATTATACTATTAAGATGCCAAGAACAGAGCTGTATGCATAGCAAATTGAGCAAGAGACACTAATTAGCTGAAGTGCTCATGAACTATATGCTCCTTTCAGCTTATGATTGAAGTCATCAACAATTCCTTTACATCTGCCACCTGTAATCTTGCCCTCATGAACTATATGCTCCTTTCATTTATCTCATTTCTCCATTTCTCATCTTTATTTGAGGGCAACTTTTGAAATCAAGATGGGAACCACATAATGAAAATGAAAATTAAAAATGAGCAGGACGAAATATGGCACGTTGCTTTTTATGTTTCATATACCTAAATGAATCATATTACATAAGTGCAGGAGAGCGGTTGATTGCCAAATAAATTCCTGAGTATCAGATATTATTTATTGAAAAGAAAACCATTTTCAACTCGATTAATATTATTTACTGCCATGAACGTTGTCAACAGAAAGTTAGTATATAGAAATTCATTGTTGCATCCGAAGTATAAATATTAAATAACTGCAGTAGTAAACACAATATGACACTTATGGTAAAAAATTTAAGGTGGTTCAGTTCCATCACAAATGATCCAAAGAAGATAATTCACATCCCTCATGCGTTAGTGATGTATTGTACAAAATTAAAATGCTTAGTTACAACATAGCAGGGAGGTTTTTGGCATATATTTATTGGACAAACACTGGATACTTTATTCCAATGTTGCACCTCCAAGAATAATATGTCTATCATAGCTTATAATAAATTGAACTGACAAACTAAGGCATATAGAAGCATGTAGGAAGTAAGGAATTCTGTTAAATCAACTTAACAAAGGAGTGTACCTGCTGGTCACTGAACAATTTGGATGACGCATAAAGTGTCTGATCTTGGAAGTTCCTTGTTAGTGTACGTGAAGAGAAAGAATAATGCATATAGTAGTGCAAAACTTGCATTTGACTTCTAGTTGGTACACCGGCTGCACTTTATATATATATATATATATATATATATATATAGAGAGAGAGAGAGAGAGAGAGAGAGAGAGAGAGACTCCCAATCAAATACAAACCATGGAAAGGTTACAAACCATACAAACTAATCTCAACCGTCCATCTAGTCTAACGAACATCTAGTTTCATAAACACATCGATTGTTTCCTAATATAAAGGGTTGATCATAATTAATGAACTCTAATCATTTTCCATAGATATTTAAATCATAATAAATGAACCTTCATCATTTCCATAAATATTGACATTTAGAAGGTTTGCATTTGATTTGCCGTCTATATATATATATATATATATATATATATATATATAGAGGGAGGTTCGGAGAAAAACCCCAAATAAATGAAAAACCTAGGAACACTGTGGTAACCCTTCATCTGGATGGTATGCACATGTGCATACAAGTAATTGAAGTTGGTTCTTGGGTTTTATGCACGTGTGCATGTTATGTACAAGTGCATACTGGACAAATTGCTTAACAATTACTTGTATGCATATGTGCATGCCGCCCAGATGAACGGTTACCAGGGTGTTCCTCAGTTTTCCATTTTTTTGCGGTTTTCCCTGAACCTGACCCTATATATATATATATATATATATATATATATAACACGACTTACTATATATGGAAGGAAATTTGACGATCATAGAATTACGTACCATATAATTGAATGTGATGCTATATGACATCAAGTTTTTCCATATAAAAATAAATATCTATGTCCGGGAAGGTACCTACAAGAAATTCCCCACTCAAAATCTCACTGTGCATTTATTACCACAAATTAGAACTGACTGTATTTACTTTAGGTTTCTGTTAGAAAAGGAGACTTACACCAAGACGATGTCTTAAGGAGAGACACATGTTGGGCAAGATTGATGGGAAGTAGGTGAAGACAAATCTGAGTGAGTGTAATATGTCAGATGAGTTACTTAAATAGGATTGTATAGAAAGATGCTATCAGCACCATCCTCGATAATTTCTTCCTTTTTTTTTACCAACCCCAGTTAGTTTGGAATAAAACACCTCTTCATGATGATGTTTTTACATTATTTTACGCACGGTATCATCCAAAATTTTCTTTCAGGTCAATCTGTAGGACTTGAAGGATACGATTAATCAACTCAGCTTTGGTTACATGATGAAGTGATCTGCCCTACCTGCATTATGAATGAAATATAATATTAATAAACAAGTCGTGTTACAAGTGCACAATGGAAAACAAACATTCAGCTATGATTTTAACAGATCATGATTAGTTTACTATTTCTGTCCTTGTTGGAGCCACAATATCTTCTTGTAACTTGTAAGACATAAACAATCTTGTCTATTAATCTAGGTAAGAATAAGTAGAGTGTGTGGCCTAATGGCTGCAAACATGAAACACTAAGCAACGAAGATAACACTAAACCTAAACTATATGTTTATTCTATACCTCAAACATTCCTCATAAAACTGGAGAATAGTGTATACGTAAAAAACGCCCAGGCTGCTAAGTATAGGATCAATGTGCGGTCTCCAAAGGGGCTTTGTCAAAATATCGGTTACCTAATCACTAGAAGGATTGTACCTGCTGGGCAATGAATAACTTGGATGACACAAAGTTTCTGACCTTGAAAGTTCCCTGTAAGTGTATATCAAGCAAAAGAAAAATAGATACTCACATAACTTGTATTTGGCTTCTAGTTGGTACCTCAGCTGCTAACGCAACTTACTATATACCGCAGCAAATTCGACAGATATAGAATTACGTACAATGTAATTAACTGTGATGCTATATGATGTCAAGTTTTCCATTAAAAATATATATATATATATATATATATTTTATGATCCACAAAAGGTACCAAAAAGAAGATTCTCCACTCAAAATCTCAGTGTGCATTTATTAACACAAATTAGGATTGTATTTATGTTATGTTTCTGTTAGAAGAGACCTGGACCAAGAGAATGTCTTAACGAGAGGCACAAGTTGGCCAAGATTGACAAGGCATATGAGTTGGCCTTAAATAGGATTGTAGAAAGAGAGGCTATCAGCGTCATCCTTTTTATAATTTCTTCCGTTTTTTGACCAACCCTAACTAGTTTAGGATAAAACACCTTTTGATGATGATGTTTTACATTATTCTACGCACAGTATCTTCCAACATCTTTTTCAGGTCACTGTAGGACCTGAAGGATATACGGTCAGTCAACTCAGCTTTGGTCGCATGATGAAGTGATGGGCCTACTTGCATTATGAATGAAATATAATATGAATAAACAAGTCGTGTTACAAGTGCAGAATAGAAAACAAAAATTCGGCTATATTTAACAAATCATGATCAATTTACTATTTGCGTCCTTGCTGGAGCTACAATATCTTTGTAACTTGTAGAACTTAACAATGTTGTATATTAATCTAGGTGGGAATAAATAAAGCAAGTGTCCCAGTGGCTGCAAAAATGGAATCTTGAGGATAACATTTAACCTAAACTATATGTTTATTCTCTCTCTCAAATCTTCCACATAAAATTGGAGGATAGCATATATGTCAAACATGCCCGGTTTGCTAAATATAGGATAAATGTGTGATCTTCGAAAAGGCTTTGTCAAAATGTTGGTTACCTAATCACTAGAAGTCATCCATATATCCTTAGAAGGAGGTTCATGAGAAGTAACTCTTACCTTCTCACAAAAAAAGAGACGACCTTAACATAGTACACTCACAAGACATTTATTTTTGGGAGATGTGAATGCCTCATTACTAGAGTAGTAGAGTACATGTTCGTCGAGTCAAACATAAGGTTCCCCATCTCTAATACCAAAACCAAACAATATACCCATGGCAACTCATAACTTATATGCTACATAACTAGATATCTTCACTAAATATTGGGAAAGCAAACGCTCAATTTCTTATTTTTTTTTTTTGATGCAAGATTACCCTAGAACATACCTAGTCATGAACCTCATGCTTCATGACTCATGTGGAATAACATGTAACTCAAGCGTGGGGCTATTATGTAGACAAATTATCTCTACCCTGAAGCACCATTGAGATACCTTAGTGTCTACATACCTTCATAATGACATGAATTGGCTTATCATACTATTTGAAACTCAATATTATGCTTGGAAGCCATGAGATGCTTAAATTTCTTGAATCGTCTCATATATCATCAAGGAGCTCAAATCATCTAGATAAAGCACAAATCTACAGCCATTTAAGACTCGGTACAGCCCAACTATAAACCACGACAACCTCAATCAAGATGTTAATGATGTACTTCCTTTCACATGAAAATATGTAATAATGCAACCTAAGTATTTGAGATTCCTCAAATGTGAATTTCCCTATGAAGAATTTTCAGAGCTGTAATCTCTATGTTGTCCCAGGTGATAATGATATATTCATCGGTATGAAAAATCAAAAGTTCCAAGTACTATTAGAGTCCCAGATTGGCTAGACTACCTTTGCCCTCAAGATATGATGGAACCTCCCTTCTCTCCTCAAGGGCTCTTTTGGAAAGCCATCTAATGAGGTTCTACCTATTCTCACATGGTATCAGTACAACTCTAGGGACCGGACAATTTAGGGCAATCAGTACCCGTCTAGCCTTAATTGGAGGGGGCATGTTAGAGTCCCACATCAGTTAGAGTTGGACCCTTTCTCCTCAAATATATGACGGAACCTCCCTTCTCTTCTCAAGGGCTCTTTTGGAAAGTAATCTAATAAGGTTCCACATATTTTTTCACTAGTAGTCATATGAACTTAGTATCATCTAGGTTTCTCTAAATCTGGGAATACCGAGAGACCAAACCCGAGCTGCCAGTTAAGGGCATAGAGAGACCTCTTTAACCAACAAAACTTTAAGAGCCAAGAGGCGATCCACATATAAATCCTCATAGAAAGCATCATTGAAGAACACATTGTTGATGGTGAAGTAAGGGCCAATAATGAACAACTGATTGAGCATCCGCACTTGTTCTAGCTGCTAGCTAAAATATTTCCGCGTAGTCCTCATTTTATATCTGCAGGGAACCAGCAGCGTCAGTTGCACTTCCAACTATGCAAGAGATCCATCAAGATTGAGTTCTAGACTGTAGACCCTCCTGAATCTAGTAGTCCTTCCCGAATGAGAAACCAACATGATCTCCTAACTCTCATTATCCTGAAGATTAGAGACTTCCTCACGTATAGCTTCTCTCGGTCTAGGACAAACCTTAGTAACATCATGAGAAATATGATGATTATCCACACTAACAATAAAGTTTGACCAACCACTAACGCAATTTTATCATTCAGCCTAATTGGTATTTTTCTAGCTGCAATTGCTCATTCAAGTGAAACCTATCTAGATGTGTCACGAGTTGATTTGTTTGTTTTGCGCTCCACATATGGAGATATCACTACAATGATCTTATCTCTAATGTAACTAATGAGTTAAAGCACAAATACTATATTGACATTGGGCATATTAAATACTAGCAACCTCAAAGGAAACTAAAACACATGATCCATTACATAAATGTCCTGTCTTCCCATATACATTAAAACAAAAATTACCTGCATGAGTGTCAAGACATATTGTATCACGTATACTATACATACTTGACATTTGGACAACAGACACAAATGCATAAGGTCAAAACCATGATAGTTTACTTAGCTTGGTAATTATTGCCCTGGCAGCTAAAAGTTGTTTGCAAATTTTCAAAATAGTTAAAAGTTAACACCATCATCTCTTCATAAATGAACTGTCACAATGTCATGTAGTTTGTCATCCACTTTTCCCGCCCTCATTGGGAAAGTAGAAAAGTAGAGTACATAAGATGATCAGATGACAACCAGAAAGGATATATCTAGAAACACAACCATAAAATCCATGTCTGCAAACAAAGAAAATGGAAGGGGCAGAGCAGAAGTGCAATACGGGATTATTGCTTGACATATCACACCTTTTTTTTGAAGTATATAATATTTATATATGGCAAATGCAACAAATAAACTCACACACCCTCCTCACCTTTGGTGAGGTTTGAACCCCTGACCTCCTAGGAGGCTATAGACTACGATATTGCTAGGCCAAAGGCCCTTTGGTGACATATCACACCTTGCTGGTTAAGGGAAACATTCTTAACAGAAGAAATTTTTTGAAGCAGATATCACCTTGCGCTGCCACTTGATTCCACACTTGGATTAACTGCAGAAAGTTCTCAAAATTAGACAACACATAAAAATTGAAACTGTGAATATGAAAAATTATACAAGAGCATAAACTCAGCAACCAATGAGTTTAAGATGGTATAAATCTCTTTGCAGTTTGATGCAACCCATGTATAAAATACAGACCTGACAATTTACTTTTTCTAGTACCATGGTATTTAGTACCTTTGGACCAACTAGATCATAAGGGTCCATCCAAAGCACCACCTCAACATGTCACGGGTAAACTTTAGGCCTTCTGACCAATGGGTGTGACATAAAGGAACTGATAGCGCCTGTGGAAACTAGCTCTTCAGTTATAAGAGACTCCATGAAGACACGAGAAAAACTTCATTGACAACAATTGTGGCCACTTCAGGGACAAGGGTTGTGGCGTACTGGCTGAGGTCCTGAGGGATGTGGTGGAATATCCCATGTGCCCAGGGTTCGATTCCAAGCATTCACAACAATTGTGGCCATTGAGTTGATTAGGGCTAATTTCTTGCCGTCACAATTTGCCATGATTAGTTTAGGCATAGCCTAAGACACCCTTTCAAAAAAACTTTATTGAGGTGCGGGGACATGGTATTGTAATTTGGATCTAGTGCAGATACAAGATTCTTTGAAGGATTGTGTGCAAGCCAGTTAGATATAAGATCATAATAACCAATTGGACTTTATAAACTCCTTACACTTTTATGTTGTTATCTCAGAGAATTATCTTCTTTAATGACCAATTAGGAAATGGCTATAAAGAGTTTATACAAATATCGCACTTGATAATAATTAGTTCTACTCCTATTATGGAAAAATTATGCCTTTTAAGTGAATTCCTCTAGAGGAGGTCCACATGTGAACTTTATATAGACATGATTTTCCCTATTTTCCACATGTATATCATCATAAATAACACAATCATGTTACCACAACTAGATTCCAAATGAACACCTGCAGCCGAATTAGAAGCACAATGTCGTCCATGAACTTTCGCATGTATCTCTTTTTCTCAAATTGCAAAAAGAAATTAATAGATGTATTAACTTTGATTCCAGACTAAACCATACCTCTTAACTCATAATTTAAGAGATTATTTACGTTGAGCTAGACTGCTACAAAAAATCACATCATCTTCATTTCCTTACCATGAGAAGAACCATACGGATGAGCATTTCTGGTAGCAGAATCCCCTTCATCTTCCTTTTCTTCCAAAGGAGATGAAAGCAGTTCAAACCTATCATTTTTGGTGGAGGAAGCCCCTTTCTCATCTTTCTTTTTTTCCAAAAGAGAAGATGTCAACTTGAAAGTCTCATATTGGCCGGAGAACGCTCCTTCCTCCTGTTTATTCACTGCAGACAGGTTAAATTTGTTGTCTTTGCAGAAGCTAAGAGTCAACAGCCACAAATCAATCCAAAACAAATCATCCAATTTTTTTTATCAATGCCAAATAGGATCCTAATGATTAAGTAATGGTAAAACAAAGCAATAAACCAATATTAATCCACAAAATGCAATCAGTAAACAGAGAGTGACACCAGGGAACTTTACATGGACAACTGAAACGGAAAAACCACGGATTAGAATGCCAAGAGCAAGAACTGATCAACCCTACCAATTGATGCTTACAAGCTTAAAGAAATGAAAACAAAAGTGAATACAGTAGGTCTGGGAGTATTTTGACAGAGAAGGCATTGGTATTCAAGATGTGCCCTAATATGGAAATAAAATCAGTCATGTGAACTGGCAATGCGACTTCAGGTCGCCAGCCACAAGTCACCCGGTTCCAAAAATAGCAGCATCTAAGTTATGCAACTTGCAAGCCCAACACGCCACGATCAACCAATGCAGCCCAAGTTGCATGACTTTTTGAATCATCGAGCTGCAATGTTTGTACATAAGGTTTCCCCTGTCTCAGCAACTTGCTCATGCGACTTGAAGTCACCAAGAGCAAGTAGCATGGGAGATCTAAGGCACACTACTCGTACATGAAGATATAGCAAGTGTAAGAAAATGTACGTTACTCATAGCTACTGTTTGAAGCAACTGAGCTAGCCAAGATACCAATATAAAAACATAAGATGGACATCATATATATAGTCCTTTCTGTCTCAGACACTTGAATGAATTGTTCAAAGAGTTCAGAGACTTTGCTGAAGTACATTGAATCAAAGTTACGAGAATGAGGAAGAGAAGAAATAGAGTGCACTAAATGATGAGTTTGGGATAATAAAAAGCAAAAAAAATATTTATTAGTTGGTTCATGTAGCCATATGAACCTAGCCCCATAAGTTGACCAAATAGGAAATTGATCCATAATAATAGGTTATGGTAGAAGTGGGGAGAATTTTAACTAGGTGTACTGGTATAATGAACACAAATAAGGTAGCATTGAGTTTGCTGAAAACATATTGAATAGAAAAAAGTTCCTGTTGTTGGTTGTTGGCCCTGGTTAGCTCGAATGAAGAAGAAAATGACATAAAACCATGCTATAAGACATAGCAACTTTTTTTAACAAAGGACATTTATTTGATAAAATAATTTTCTTATGCACGTGGGAGATCATGCACAGTTGCCATTGGAGGCCATAAAGATATACGCCCACTCCTCGCTTTCCTCAATACCGTGAGTAGTCTCTTTGGTTGCCTTGGCTTTCAGAAAGCCCTTTGTAAAGGTTGGAAGCTATGGCTACAGTAAGAAAGGACCACCTTTTATTTGCCCATTTCGTACTCATCTTATAGAGGGAGTAGATAGAAAGATAAGAGAGAAAGAGAGGCAGAGAGCAAGAATAGAACGAGATTATGGAACTCCTGATAAGCAGCGGCAAGGTAGAGAAGTAGCAATAGACAAAAGGAACATGTCTCTTCTCAGTTCATTTAGTGAAGGTTTATATACGTGTCTTGAACCTTATTGACTAGCAAAATAGGCAGAGTTATGCCAAGCACTTCATTTATGAAGGACAGACTTATATTGTTTGATTGTCTTCAGATGGTGTGTACGATGCACACCTTTTCTCATGGCCATATAGGTTACAATTTCGAACATAAATTAAGGTATAACTGCCATAACCTGTACTAATGTGAATTTAAATTATGTCTAATCATAAAAATAAAATTTCTTAAAGGACTTCAAGATATGACTCATTGCCTTCTAAAAGTGTCTTCATATAACTATAAACATGCTTATTGAACACCACAAAACTGCTTGGACACCTAAATATTTTGTCGGAAAAAACAGACAACACATGAAAATAAGATGCACTCTGTTCAATCCTACAGAGGGAAATGCTTATACTTCAAATGTACAAGAGAAATCAAACATTTGAATGTGTGTATCATAGAACAATTAAGAGCAACTAGAAAATAGGTGCAATTTAAAGAATCTTCACATTACCTCAATGGTTGCAATTTCTGTTGTTCTTAGAATGGTTTGAACTACAGAATCCAACACTTCAGCATCTGTACTGCCAAGATTGGCCGGAGGCAAAGACATTGTACAACTTTCTACACTCGTCACAGTTTCCTGTCACACAACGAAATTAAGACTGAACCAAAGTTGCATGTCTGGTGACAATTATTGAAACATGAAGTTTTCAAGTAAAGCTTACAGATACAGAGTTGCCTCCAGTAATCCCTCCTGCAGAAAGAACACCACTTATTTGAGATCTAAAAATAAGTAAAATGTGATGGTAAAGAAGCCAAAGTAGATCATACCACCATTTGAGATTGTTCAACTCTACTGAACTTTGTAATTAAAGAATCTCTTGAAAGTACTGTTTTTCCTTTCATTGATATATACATACAAAATAAAATGTTCATCCTGATACTTCTAAATATAGAGGTCACTCATCCATTCAGTTCAAATTAAAGCTTACCTTGTGTCTCATCATTGTTTGGAGCTTCATGAAGTTCATCTAAATTGATGGCAGAAACTGCACCATCATCTTCATGAGAAGAACAATCATACATATTAGCATCTTGGTTAGAGGAATTCCCTTCCTCATTTTTCTTGCCTTTGACAAGAGATGACAACTCAAAAATATCATCTTTGATGAAGGAAGGATCTTCTTGCTTTTCTTCCACAAGAGAAGAGGACAGCTTAAAAGCTATGCCTTTACTGCAGAAATTTCCTTCCTCGTCATTCTGCTCTTCAAAAAGATATGTGGGCAAGTTAAAATCATCATCTTGGCCCAAGGAAGACGCCATCCAATCTTCAGCAATTTTTATACAACAAGAAGGAAATTCAAAAAGATAATCTGAGTCTCTATATTGTGATGAGGTTTCCAAGTGACTATTGTTTGTGCCCGGTATATCAATGTTTCCATCTTCATAATCTCTTGACCTCTTCCTCTTCCCTTGATTCTGGCTCTAGGAGTTAGGGAACATAAAAAATGTATAGTATTAAACACAAACACTACACCAAATAAAATAATGTTTATCATTTAGTAAAATCTTTAGCAGCAAATATTGAATTCACTGACTTCTAAAAAAGAAATATAGTATAATTGCAGCCACCTCTATTTTAACTGCCCAAGTTGTGTTGGCATGAAAGTGAAAATGTGTGTAGCACATATAATAAATATCTATCAGAAATCAAAACAAACTAATCTAGACAAAAGACCAGTCACGAAAATGTAAGGGTCTGTATAAAGCAATAGGATAAATGCCGGCATCTCTGTTTTAACTTTCAACATTCCCAAGTTGTGACTGACATGAAAGTGAAAATGTAGATTCAACGTATATAACAATTCAATGAACGTACTATAAATATCTATAAAATAAATGAAAACATTTGAAGCAACTAATCTAGGCAACTAATCAACGTGATAGAGTCTCTCTTTCTGGAATACATGAAAAATGGAACACTTTCCTTTGCTTACATGATATTCAAACTACAAGAATGAGGAAGAGATAATGAAATGTGGAATAAGTTCTTTTGATGGGATAGACATATAGGGAAAGTTGCTTCATTAGCTTGTTCATATAGCCATCTATAAACAGGCTCATAATGCACCACATCACATAACTTACAGTTTCAAGTATCTAGAATAAGAAGTCTCTCTAAGACCGAATAGATATGGTGCAATTCCAACAGATATTGTATTGATGAGCGGGTGGGAAGTCGACATTGGGGAGTAAAGGAAACACCAAAATGAGAGTTTCAAGTATGTAGGCTCCATGATTCAAAATGAGAGGTTGAAGATGACATAAGACATCATGTAAAGGTAGGGTGTCTAAAGTGGAGGACTGCGATGGGGTGATGCGTGACAAAAAGGTCCTACTAAAACTAAATGGAAAATTTACAGGCCATCATAAAATTATGTTGCATGGGTCGAAGTTTTAGGCGGCAAGTAAGGCCCATGAGAGGAAGTTGGGCGTTGCAAAAATGGGGATGCTTAGATGGACCTATGGTCGGACGCAAGCAGGATACCATATGACATCTTACGAGCAAAGTTGGGACTTGGGAGTTGTGCTTATCACAAATAAATTGAAAGATGGAATTTTGTTGTGGTTTGGACACGTTCGTAGGAGACAGGTGTCAGCTCCGATGAGGAGGGTAGAAAGTGACATTCGACGAGACGAGGAAGAAGGGCAGGTTGAGGAGGATGTGGGATAACATGGAAGCCTCAGGCATCTCCAAGGATGGAGATGAGGGTTAGAGTAGTAGACTAGGGTTGGAGACGCTAGCATAGATGGGATGAAGGGAGCTAGAGAGATAGAGGTTGTGGTAAGCTTAGTGAGTTGGCAGACAAGTTATCGGAGTCCTAAGATAAACTAGGAATTGTGTTGTTGCCTTACCTTTGATATTTTTTTCTTGTACCTACTTTTGTTTGCATGGCATTTCTCACTTTTCTGTAGCCTAGTTCTCTTTTTTAGTTCTAGGTGTATCTTCCTTTCTGGTATCAATTTCTTCACTTTTGATTTCTTCTACTTCTCTCAAATTTTTCAAATTTTTTGGGCATATTTTCTTTATTACACACTTTTCACAAGTCGGGGGTCTTCATGGAAAGGTCATTCTAATCTTTGGGCATAAATTAAGTCCGTCGACACCCACTGACCTAGGTGTAATAACTTGATCAAATTGATGGCTCAAGGTTTTGTGTTTTCTTATTCAATAATAAAATGCAATATAGAGGGGAGAAATAAATAGACCAAAACAATGGTTAAAAAAGGAACAGAATAAAAGGACAAAAATAGGGGGAGCAATCTGAGGAGAGAATTATGGAGTAGAATGAAGGGAATGATTTTAATTCCCAAAACTCCCCCTCAAGTTGGAGTGTGTAGGTTGACAACACCCAACTTGCTAAGTAGAAAACTGAGTTGAGGAGCACCTAAGCCTTTTGTGAAGAAGTCAACGATTTGTAACTTTGAGTCGATGTGAAGAGAACGAATTTCTTGAGTCTCAACTCTTTCACGGACAAAAGAGCGGTCCATCTCTACATGTTTAGTCCGTTCATGAAAAACGGGATTGCTGGCGATGTGTCTCGCAGCTTGGTTATCACAAAAAAGGGGAGTGGGACCTTCAAATGGAAAATCTAACTGTTGTAGTAACCATCGCATCCATAGAACCTCGCTAACGGTAGAGACCATGGAACGATATTCTGCTTCAGCGGAAGAGCGAGAAACGACCGATTGTTTCTTAGTTTTCCATGAAACCGGTGCGCCCCCAAGGAGGAGTAAGTATCCTGTTCTTGATCGTCTCGTAAAAGGACATCCAAGCCAATCGGAATCACAATTTCTCAACCCCTATTCCTGACTTGAACAGAAGCTTCAGCTACTTGAAGAGTGAAGAAGCAGCTACCATCTTTCAATGCAATACTAAGCCAACTAGCAACCTGAGCCTGTAGCCACCCGCTATTTTATAATAGCAACCAAGCCAGCCGGCCTATATTTGAAHGAAAATGCCGGGTCGCTCAGCGAGGAGAGGATAGGGTGCTCTCGGATTTTCTAAGAAAGACAGGGCCTCCGAGTCATTTTGCATGTCGGAAAAAAGACAAACCATGGGCTTGAGGCATCAGTCGTCTCGGTTCTAATCCGTATAGGTCGACACGAAGTGATTCATCATCCTCAAACATGAGCCGATCGTTAGTTAGGGACGGTTTATAGATCAGAAAATTCCCACAAATTGAATGAGAAGTGGGTCCATGTAAATAATCGAGACCTTGCAAACAACAACGCTCCTTCCCCATATGGAGTTCGGAACCCAAAGGCAATCGTTGAGTGAACTGTATCTTCTTTGTGTTAGTTAACCTAAGTCGCACCCTTACTGCTGGGGTGGGGCTCGGCCTCCGAACCTTACGTGGGACGAGTTTCTGCCTCATACAGCTCGAGCTGAAACCCGGGGGAAGTTTAGGAGAGATGAAGAGAGCCAGCAGCTGACAGTCGGGGCGGGGATAAGCTTCCTTCTTCACAAGCTTATCCCTCCCCAAAAAACCGACCCGATAGCGCTTCCCGTTTTTTCTATTCCATCTCATTCCATTCCGGGACAGGCGGCTAATACTAATCTAATAAGTGAAGTAGTCGTCGTCTGACCAAGCGGCTCGGACACCAGACCGCCCGTGCCCGCCTTCCCACCAAAATATCAGTCCAATAATACCACTCATTGGTAAATAGCGCAATACTTCTCACGGAAGGACGACGTACTATGATACTTTCTGTTTTGTCGAGAGGAAAAGGGATCCAAATGCCCCATCAATAAAGTGAGGGCTTTCCGCACCTTCCCCACCCCTCACTCCCCCTTTTTCAAAAAGAAKCCCCGCTCAACAAGGGGCCCCTCTCTAATAAGGAAGAAAACGAAAGAATCTCAGCGCATGCCCTGGTTTAGAATTTCTCTCTTTCCCTTTATTTTTAGTTTTTTTTTGAAACTTGTTCTAATCAAACTGTTTTCCACTACGGGGCCTTTGTTTGATCCCCCCCTTATGTATATGGATTCTATCGCTCCTAATCTCTCTTCCCCCCCTTCCCAAGAAGACCTCTTTAAAGAATTGGATGGGGAAGGGCARCAGCAGGAAGATCCGAGTACACCGGACTCCGATTTGTTCGACCTGGGGAAGGAGGGTGATAGGATAACCTTTTTAGAGGATGAGATTTGCGATCTCTTCCATGAATTAAGAGAAAAAGAAAAAAGGCCCCTCGAAGACGAGCCCCATCGTATCCACCGGGCTATTGATCGAGTCCGGGAAAATCTGAGTGCTCCCGACAAAAAAGAAAGTGAGAATCTTGAAGTAATYGCAAAGGAGATAAAAGAAAATCTTCTTACTAGTAGAGCCTATTTTTATTTCAATTTATACYTGGACTTAGACGTAAAAGATGATGTTACAGGAATTTCTGAAAATGAACTAAAAAGGGACCATGAGGGAGGAAGTTAAATTGAATTGAGAGTTTGTTGCTTCAAAGAATCGAGATTAAGTTGGTGTTAAGTGTACTAAGGTACAAGATTGAAAAGAATGCTTTTGCATTCCAARCGCAAGTAAAAATCCCATACTTTTCTTGGTTAACCGCCAAGCTACCCTHAAAAAAAGTAAGACTGTTGGTCTTGCTAAAGAAAAGAGTCTTTAAGCTACCTAAACAAAGATAGCCTAAAGCGGAGCAAAAAAACGAAAGAATCTCAATTTTATGACAAATCCGGTCCGATGGCTGTTCTCTACTAACCACAAGGATATAGGGACTCTATATTTCATCTTTGGTGCCATTGCTGGAGTGATGGGCACATGCTTCTCAGTACTGATTCGTATGGAATTAGCACGACCCGGCGATCAAATTCTTGGTGGGAATCATCAACTTTATAATGTTTTAATAACGGCTCACGCTTTTTTAATGATATTTTTTATGGTTATGCCGGCGATGATAGGTGGATCTGGTAATTGGTCTGTTCCGATTCTGATAGGTGAGCCTGACATGGCATTTCCACGATTAAATAATATTTCATTCTGGTTGTTGCCACCAAGTCTCTTGCTCCTATTAAGCCCAGCCTTAGTAAAGTGGGTAGTGGCACCGAGTGGACGGTCTATCCGCCCTTAAGTGGTATTACCAGCCATTCTGGAGGAGCAGTTGATTCAGCAATTTCTAGTCCTCATCTATCTGGTATTTCATCCATTTTAGGTTCTATCAATTTTATAACAACTATCTCCAACATGCGTGGACCTGGAATGACTATGCATAGATCACCCCTAT